ACCACTAATCAGTGTTGGAAATAAACCTAAATAAGCTAGAGGTTGGAAAGACCAATAAAGGCCCCAAGCCGCGGGTACTACCAAAGCAGAGCTGATTCTAATTTCTTTTCATGCAAATCAATTTAACAACAGCATTCTTACAACAATAAAAATGTACAAATGTAACACCTTTTTTTTTTTTGCTTGAAGTATCTATAGAACTGATGAGTTATGATAACTAATGTGTCCCATGATTCTGAGGAACAATCCCCCGGATTAACAGCTTTGTTTTTAATTTGGGTTACAGTCAGTTTATATGGATCTTTTTTATTGTTACAGACAAATGCTAAACTGGAGATGGAAAATCAACATTTGAATATGGAAAATAATAAACTAAGACAAGAAAACTCTAGCAGATCCCCACACAAGTAAGTTAACAGGCTTGTCATAGAGTAGTGATTATTTGTTACTTAGTCTACAAAACTAAATTTACAGATTTGTTTAACCTGTAAGTCAGGTACATGGTAATTTTAGGGGGTAGCATGGACAGACTAGATTCCTTGTGCCACCCTCTCTTACATAAAATACATTACTTTCTATGTAACATCCTAAAAATATAAGAAATGTCACGTCCCCTCTACTAGTCTGTGTTTCCACCCTACAACATAAACTTTTCATTTGCCAGTTGTATATAGTGACTTTTATACTCAGAAACATTGCCAATGCCTAATTAGGGTTGTAATCCTCACAGATAGATTACGTTACTCTGCTGTGTCCAACTACACATTGTGTGAACATTTTCGTTGTTCTTATATATCTGGACACCGTACATGGACTCAAAGTCAAAACCATAATATACGTTAGTACAGTAAAAGACATTTTTTCTATATCACTCATTGTTTTAGAAATTATTGAATTTTTCCTTTGTTTTATGCCTCAAGCACACATTCTCTTCAGGACAAAAATTTCAACAATTTTTGAACCATGACTGATATAGTGAATTTGATTTACGTATACCGTAATGATAAATATGTAATGTAAATTGACTAATTTTCACTGGGTTTAAATTTCGCTGATTTACCATTTCAGGCATATTCAGTGGGTTTTAAAATTCACAGTTTTATTATTTAGATAATGTGTTCGATGCTAAATTTTACATATTTACTGGGTTTTAATTTAGTGCATTTTCCAGTC